CTGGTTTTGTCCAGGAATGTTGAGCAGTGCTACGTAGGGAAATGTGGACCGGAGCAGTTGTGGAGATTGGATTGTAGAGATGATCCACAGGTTCAGTTGTGGGTCTATGTATTTGAAGATGCAGGGACTTGACCATCCGCACCATCAATTGTGCATGAATTTGAAAATCCTCTGCTGGAGATGGAGGGTCGACATCTGCTAAATCGGACTCAGGTGAAGTCAGCAAGACGGCGTTTACGGTCTGTTCAGAATGGTCGACATTGTGTCTAGACTCCATGGATTGATGATCAACATCGATGTTGAGGGGCTGTGCCTCAAAATATTGGTGTTGATGTTGAGATGTCAATGTCGGAGTTGTGTCCATGGACATCAGTCGGTATTGAGGATTGTCCATGGGCAACGATGTCAATGGAACGTCCATGGGCAAAGGTTGATATTGAGGATCATTGATATCAGAGCCGGTCTCTCGGTGGTGACAAAATGGAGGCTTGATCAATGGTTGATATTGAGGATCATCGATATTGGAGCAACTATCTCAGTGGAGACAAAATGGAGGTTGTTGTCGAGGTAGTAAATGTGTTGATGGACCACATTGGATGGCTGTGGAGTAAATAGTTGCTGGTGATGCCAAGCGGGATGATTGATCCTGATCCACTTGGGCCAGGAAATAGCGGCCTACCGGAGCTGCAAACGCACTCTGACCCGAAGAATATGGATCGGCTGTTCTGGATCTTTTAGATGCTGGCTGATAGGCAGTCTGTAACCGGTGATGATGCTGATGGTGTAATTTGTTTTTCAAAAGTTCCATCTGCATCTTCTTCTTGATATGGGTGTCAGTAGAAGAAGCCAACTATCATGTTTCTTTTGTTTTCTGCCCCAATTATATTAATCCATATGCTTTCAGTGGGACAACCAAGCTTATTGTCCTGAATTTCTGTGCAGGGATATGTATTTTTGATAAACACTGCAACTCCATTTTTGATGAATTCTTCTTTTACTGAATATCCTTCAATTGCTGTGTTCCAGTCATGGGAATCATCCCACCAAGGTTCAGTTATCCCTATCAATTCATATTCACTCTCCTGAACTAGGACTTTCAGTTCTTCTTGTTGGTTTCCCATACTCCTGTCATTCGGTTATAGACACCGGAGACTGTGATCTGCAGCCTGCTTTATTTCTTACAATTTTAAAAAGATCATTGTTGTGTCCCATTAGAGATGCTCGGTCTATGTCTCTTTTTATACACAAGCCTTCATCTATGTTTACCTCTGGGTTTGCTTTTCCCATGCAGTAGGGAGTCTTCTACTACAACTACTTTTCTCTTTTTCTTTTTGTAGGGTGTGAGTTCAAGTGACTCTGTTTTGCTGAGCTTCAGCCCTTCTCATGTCCTACTGTGGAGTCTCCTCTGCATGCTGTCTGGCAGACTCTTCAAAAATCTGCAAGCTGTTTTGCAGTTTCACTGATGAAGAGTACCTTCTCCTTCTTTTGCTCCTAACTGTGGCACTTTTTCTTGATGCATCCTGTGCTATGTTTCTACTCTCCTCAGCATTCTCATCCACTGCTTTGTTTTGCTGTTCTACCACCTCCAATTAAATTTTTTTTCTTCCAAAGGTGCTACCAGTTTGCACTTGCTGCATGTGAATGCTGTGTTGTTTTCTGGCAAAAAGACAAACATTGCACACACCCTGCAGGTCACCACCACTGAAGTGTTTCTTCCTTGAATCCCTGTTATTTTTTGGCTTTCTTCTGTTTGTCTATCAGTGCCCTTTCCTTTGTGCTGTCTATCTCAAAGGCTGCTGGGAAAGTCCACTAACATATATATTATCAGTAGATTAAACATATTACAGAGAGAGAGAGAGAGAGAGAGAGAGAGAGAGAGAATCCAAATTAGGAAAAAAAACATTATTGGCCTCCCCCGCTGAACTCCTCTGTTAAACTCCTGTTTGCTTTCCCAGTTCACTTGCTCCTGTCCCTTCCCTCCCTGGGGTCTGACTCTGCCGTGCTCTGTTAGGAGTCAGCAAACTAAAAGGACTGCCTAGTACTCCGAGCTGCTGCTTACTGTCATCAGCAGTTATCAGGTGATGACCCTTTCCCTTAAGCTGAGCACACAATGCTTCTGAATGGTGCACTCCCAGGTGCTTCTCCAAGTCCCTTGCTGTTCTTGATTTTAATCCCTACCTCTCTGCCTTGCTCTCCACTTTTCTTTTGTCTCTGTCTCCAGTAAATCCTTTCTTTACTACCTCTCCCCCATCAAACTCCTGTTTTGATCCTGTTATTTTGCTTCCTGGGGTTGGAATTAGTTTTATCCCTCTGTTAGGAGCCAGCAAACAGAAATGTGCCTTTATGTAGTCACCAGCTTTACCAATACTCTGTTTGTATCACTTGAAATTTCATAAAAGCCAATCTTGGAACCTCCATGTTCATTTTTCAACACATAATAAAAGTTCTATTCAGTCGAATAACACAATTCAGTGGAGAAAGGGCTTCAAGATACACTTTTCTAACCTCATAAAAACACCTCTGCTTCCCACCTCACACTGGTCTTAAATTATCTTTGGCCTTCTCTTTGAAATCAGATTATTACCCCATTGATTGAAAACATCCCTGGCTGATCAGAAAAAACTAGACTTGAGTATCTCCTCTCAGACAGGGATTATAAGATATCATACAAGGTACCTGGGTTCTATCTGGTGATTCTCAAGTTTCAGAAATTTCCCCATACTTGACTCTGGTATTGGCATGGAGGGTTTTGAATCGCTTGTATACTTGTTTGTTTCATACTTGTTGTATGCTTGTTTGTTTTATGTCTATGTTTGATGTTTTGCAATCTCGCATTGCAGAGATTGTGTGGATCTGGGTTGTCCACTTCTCTGTAGGAGAGGTCTAAGGACTGTAAATAAAGAATTGATTGATTACAAGTTGGCTTTTAAGGAGATCATCACCCCACTGATCAAAGAAAAAATAGACGTGAGATTTTTGATATAGACTCCAAGATCATTTATCAAATAGCCAGATTTTGCAATATTCAGGTCTCGGAAATTACATAGTAACTAGATACTAGATTTTAAATTGTGTTTTAAATGCCAGTTTTTTTATGAAGCACGGGGAAGGAGTGAAAATTTCTCTGGCCATGCACAAGAAGATATGAAATTTCTCTTTGTATGAGAGGATGCTGATAAGTATTGAGCCTTTCCCAGAAAAAAATGAGCTAAGAAGCTGTAACTGCCTCACTATTCTACATATTCCCCCAGGAAGTCAATGCACTTGAGACATCTGTCCTGCAGCTTCTTAAGTCCCTGCAAATAAAATTCTTCAGACTGCTGGTGTAACCACTCATTTGCAGCATTAGTTGCCTCCAGAACACTCCCAAATCGTTGTCCCTTTAAGTGTTTTTTGAGTTTGGGGAACAGATAATAGTCAGAAGGAGCCAGGTCGGGAGAATAGTGTGGATGGGACATCACTTGAAAGCCGAAGGACATCGGTTTTGCCATTGTTTCACCTGCAGTGTGTGATGAGGCATTGTCATGCAACAAGATGACCCCTTTGGAGAGCTTTCCTCAACATTTTTCCTTGATGTTTTGCTTCAACTTCATCAATAAAGCACAGTAATATTTTACATTGATGGTTTAACCCTGTTGGCGGTAGTCCACCAGCAGAACTCCCTTCTTATCCCAAAAAACTGTTGCCATTTGGTTCTGCACCGACCTTTGCATTTAGAACTTCTTTGGCCTGGGGAAACCACTGTGCCTCCATTCCGTAGACTGTTCCTTTGTCGCAGGATCATAACAGTAGATCCATGTCTTATCACCAGTTACCAATTTGCCCAGGAAATCTGACTCATTTCTTGCAAAATGTTCCAAAACAGCCACTGATGACTCCACACATGACTTCCTCTTTTGTTTGTATGTCAAAAGTTTGGGGATCCACTTTGTTGCCAGCTTTCTCATTTCCAAGTCATTGTGGATAATGGCACCAAATCTCTCATGTGATATTCTCAGATATGTAGCAATACTTTTGGCTAATATTCGGTGGTCCTCCATGATCATGTCATGGACGGCTTCCACATTTGCAGGCACAAAGACAGAAACAGGCCTTCCACTGGGTTTCTCACTTTCAACACCGAAATGACCAATTTTAAAATTGACAACCCAATGTTTAACTGTTGCATATGAAGTGCAGATCATCACAGGCAGAGCATTCACACTGTACCTGCTCTCAACAAGATGCTGGCCCATGTCTTTTAAGTTGCCTAATTGGATAGATTTTGCCCTACTGATTTTTTTGATATCTTGGAGTTTTAAAGTGTTCTCTAGCGGCACTCCCAGAAACTCTGAACTATACAGTTTTCTTCAACTGATTCCAAGAACTCAACATTTCCTATACATGTTTCCTTCCTTTACATGTATTTGTACAAGACATTAAGCTAGAGTTAGCTCTAAGCACATCAGGAACACAAGAATATAAGTTATCTTTCTTGTTTATGCTAGAAAAGCACTATGTACACCACAGTGCAGTGTATGGTGTATGAACTGCATATATTCCTGAGATTGCCAGTGCAACTTTCCAGACCACACTATGACAACAACAGCAACAACAGCAATAACAAACAACAATGAGAATTCTAAAAATAAAAATCACATATCAAAAATCTTTCAGAGTAACTGGTTATCAAAAGGTTGTTTCAGATGTGTGTTCGAGGTCCAAAATGTTTTTTTTCCAAACTAGAAGGGGCCAAATAATATCTCCAGTTTTGAGGAAAAAAGAAAAGAAAAAAATCAGCAACTTGCAACTTATGTGTGTATGAAAATTGGGTGGACGTGTTCCCTGAAACCCCGTGGCTGCCTATTCCAATGTATGTGGATACCATTCTACAGATAGAAACCAACAAGAACAGGCCTAGGAAGCAACAGATTCAGCACACACCTGTACAAGTAGATGCATCAGGACCATGAAGAATCAGTAGAGTAATCCTGATAGAACAGCTCCAATGTCACTTTTACCTGAATGCCCCCTTCAGCACCTGCCCAGGTGCCAGCTCATGGGTTTGATTGTTATAACCATAGAACATCTCCCCAAAAAGAGTCTGGTTCATAGGCAGTTCACGGCTATCTTCGCAGTCACCACCCTCTGGACAGGATTCAGAAATCAACTGGCATGATCGCCCATCCACACCTAGCTTGTAGTCTTCAATGCATCTGTTATAGGAGGGAATGTGAGTGAAATTGTTAAAGCTTGTTTTGTGAGTCTTTCAGAGGGGAAGATACTTAGCCTTGAAGAATAAACCAGCACTGTTAATTGTAGCCATGTAAAAGAAGAGCCCACATGCAAATCATTTTATATCACCATATGGCTGAGAGAAGGCATCTCCTGTAATGAAGGTTAGATTCGTACTGTAGGTCTAACATAGCGATTTTCAATATTTTAAATCCCAGTCAACCACTTCCAAATTAACCTTTGTGTCAATCAAGAAACTCCTGCAAGTGGTGAAGAATTCTGGGACAGATCCTAAAGCATCCCATTCCCCAAATATAGATGTGTAGTGCTTGAATTGCCATCATCCTTCATCTACATGGTTAGTGAGCATGCTAACTGGGGAAGATTCGGGGTGGTAAATCAAAGCTTTTGGGAAGTACCAGGTTGGGGAAGACTGCCATAAAATATGCTATCAGTTTGTATAAAAACTAGAGAATGCAAAGCAATATGTGAAAACACCAGTTCACCTTTATAAATCCTCCCAGTTAAACTGAAAGATGTGCAGAGCAGAGCAGAACAGAAAAGTAACTGGGGGGAGGCTGTGCATTGCAAAACACAGAACATTCCAGAAAGGAAGATGCCAGTACCTTCAGGATGTGATCCAGCCTACTCCTTCATGGAAAGATGCACAAGAAATTTTGTGAGTTTAGGAATTAATGTATGAATACTCTCCTATTAGAAGGAATTGTGCTATATCATTATTATAATTTATAGATCAGTGAGTTAGAGATCTGGCTGCAAAACTAGAAGCTGGGGGAATGCAATTTCTCACCATGTGGCCTTAGGCAAGCTGCACAGTCCCTGAACTGGCCCAAGAAAGGAATAGTAAACCACTTTTTACAACTCTATACTTGGAAAACTCTGAAAAGGGCAATGATAATGATTTTCAGCCTATTAGTTTGAAAGGAAACTAGTAGAGATGAGTCCCAGAAAGGGATTCTGACATAGCAGGAGAATAACTGCAAGTGGTGCAATCTAGTTATGCTAATATGGGGAAGCAAGCATAGACAGATCTAAATATCAACAGAGGTTTAATAAAATATGAAAATTACTCCATCTTTCTAGAGGATGCTGGAGATAAGCTTTTGTGGAACTTACCCACAGAACATAAGGATATTGTATAAAGTAGGATCCTCTGGCAAAGGCACCATCTGCTGAAGACACAGCTGCTCACAACCACCATTGAATCCATCTGAGCAATCCACACCAATGTGGCGATCATAGCAGCCAGTGCCATCTTTCATGGGGCTGAGGCCTGGGGGGCACTGGCAGGACAGAAAACAGAGCAACACATCCAGAGTTAGTTACAGAAAGCCACAGAACTCCTGCTTCCTATTTCCTTCATTGCCACAAAACAACATTCATGAAAGACAATACAGTATTATAATCGCACCTCAACTGGCTGTGTTCCAATAATAATTTTATGATGACAAACCTCATTGCATATCACATCTGGGTAGCTCACAGCACTGTAGTTCATGAAAAAAAATCAATTAATATCCCATTGCTTCTTCTTTGTCAAAATCAACATTAGGATTTGTGCAGCCATTTCTTCTATTTCCTATTTCTCTTTCTTGAAACTGTTTCTTGAAACTCTCTCTCCTTCTTGTCTGTTTTGTACTGAGTTCTTTCAACCAAATAATTATCCAGCATCATCCATACTTCAAGCTCATAACCTCAGTAGTACCTTTGCCTCCTCTTTCATTCTCCCTGTTGTTAAATATGAATTGTTTTCATCTTTGTAATACATACACTGTTCATCCTTTCTTCTCATTTGATGCAGCTGAGTCTCTTGCTCTCTCTCATTATTTTTCACCTCAGGCTCTTTCAGACTTTCTTCCATGTAGTATTTACATCTTGTTTCTCAACCTTGATTCTTAAGTCTGCCCTGGTCTATGGATTTATATAGCTGCTTTCCAGACACCTGCTGCTCTGGACCACATGACAATGGCAATGGAGAGGAAGCACTCTGAAATTCAACGCTGATATGGCCAAGCCTGTGCCCTTGCCCCCTTTCTCACTGCTTCATAGTCCTCTAGGAACCAGGAGATGTACAGAGGGATTTGTACTTGGCTCATGTATTTAGGATGTAGCCCGAAGGGATTCTCAAGATCAGAGCTGGAGAACATGCCCCTCCAGATAGTGCTGGACTTTAAAACACCTCTCAGCCCCAGGCCATCATCACCATCAGTAATGATGAACATTGTAGTTCAAAAACATCTTAAAGACCACAAGTTTCCTAATTCTGCTCGTACCTGCATCTGAAAACTTGGAAGTACCTATAGTATCTCTAATCACTCTCAGGAAGAGCAGTGGGTTTGCCCTGAACTCCAAACTATATTCCCTTTGTATATTTGACAAAATGGCAGTACTTTTATTTATAGGGTCAGCTATGAAACAGATTAATCAAAAGCTGCTGGTTATCCAGGGACTTTTTACCAAACTTCCAAGCTTGTTTGAGCTTTGACCCAAGTAGCTGAACTCATAAACAAGTCTGACTGTAGTGAGTTAAAGGCCAGCTACTAGACTGGAGTCAAGGAGGTTTCCCTTTCAAATAGAACACTTTCTAGAACATAGCAAGGAGAGCTACTGACTGCTCTCTGATCTCTTTTGTGTGTTTCAACTCATATGGCATTAACAGAGAATGTGTTTCTGAAATGCTTCACCTACTCACTCTCACACATACTTCTGATTATGGAAGATCATGCTGCTACATGACACAGGTTGCTTATTGATACTAGTTCTGCAATTTCCAAAACAAATGGCTCCCTTTGGGCTCACTTGAATCTCATCCTGCCCCAGGTTGCGCCTCGCTCTTCAGTGCCAGCTGGATTACTGAAGCATAAAAACACTTAGGCATTTTTATGTGTTAGCACTCCACAAGCAAGCCCAGATGTTGGAAATGATAGCAAAGAGGCAAATGAGGAGCCTTGGGAGGCTGCTCAGCACCCATCCCCATCATAACTTCCCATCTGGCTGACCAGATTTGCTAGCACGTTGGGGGTTGGTAAGGGAGTGTGTGCGTCTTTATATGTGTCTCTGACTGATGTGACTTCATGGCCAAGGAGCCAGCATGGCACAAGAGCTTTGAAAAATCACAGAACTTAGCAGGAAAACTTTGTTTTACAGTACTGCCCCCATGTCATTCCCCATTCATTTTCATGGATCTTCCACATGAACATCTGTCAGAGGGCTGTTCCCTCAGTTTGCAAAATTGAAACAATAAAAGAAAACTGTGGCTTTGTATGGTGCTGCCTATGACTCAGCCTATGCCTCACTCAACTTGCCCCATTCACCAATGCACAAATTATCTGCATTGTATCACAAATATCACTCAGGTGATATAATAGCACAAATGTGGACAAATGGTGTACACTTTATTTCTGTCTGCTACCAATGTAAATGTGGCTTTTAATCTCACTGTTTTCTCTAGATATTGCACTTAAAATAAGTTAGGATGACATTTGGGTGCCTTTATAGTTGAGGAGTGAGAACAATATGAATGGGGTAAGGATGTGTTACCATGTCTTGCCATCACTGCTCCCTTCCTGGAAGATTCTAGCATGTTCTCCATAATTCCAAGTGAATACTTGTCAGCTATGAGATTCCAATAGCTACAACAATATAAATCCTTGTTTGGCCTCCTGTATGACATATAGGAGGGCCTGGCATGCTCTGGTCCATGGGGTCATGAGGAGTCGGACACAACTCAATGACTAAACAAAAATGACATATACAAGATCAACAAAAAATGTACTTAAGGCCTGCAAGAATCTGGAAAAATCATTGATGCACAATGGAAACAAAGATATTGATGATGAAGACTTGTGCTTTGAACTTATAGCAATAGCTCCAAGACTTCCAAAGTCTATGCCACCACAAGGAGTACTTCTCTTCATAGTGCAACAAAAACTCCTGGATAGTGTGCCTAATGTTTTTGTTGCTCTAAGGATCCTTCATTACACTTCCAGTGTCAGTGGCTAGCGGTGAACGCAGTTTCTCAAAGCTCAAGCTCATAAAACATATTTACACTGAACAATGTTGCTAAGTAGACTAGTTGGTTTGGCAGCTATATCAATTGAACATGCCGAAGCATCACCATTGACCTGAAGGAATCAGTGACAAAATTTACAAAAGAAAAGCCACGGAAAGTGAGATTTTGATGTGGCAAAATTAGAAACATTTAAGAGACATTACAGTTCATAGGAGTATTCAAAATGATTTGTGTGCTAAAGTTGTTTTGTATTTGAGAAAGAAAATTGAAGACTGTTCTATTGAAGAAGAAAAACAGCCACCCACAAATAAAGTATTTCTGCCATACACCAAAGGGGTCACGGACCACATGGGGAAATTTCTGAAAAAACACAACCTACAAACAGTATTCAAGCCCACCACAAAAATACAAAAATGTTACGGTCAGCAAAGGACAGAAGGAACCCCCTCACTACTGCAGGAGTATACCAGACACCGTGCAGTTCTGGCCAGGTATACATTGGAACCACAAAACGAAGCATCCACACCAGAATCAAAGAACATAAGAGACACTGCAGACTAAAACAACCAGAAAAATCTGCAGTAGCTGAACATGCCCTAAAACAAGCTGGACATGAAATTCTATTTCAAAATACTGAAGAAAACTACACCAGAGCACAGAGTGCTGTCCTCTGAAGGTGCCGGCCACAGAGACAGGTGAAACGTTAGGAAGAACAACCTTCAGAATACGGCCAAAGAGCCCCGAAAAACCCACAACAACCAACTGTTCTATTACTTGTTCTCTCAGTTTAAAAAAAATAAAAATTTAACAATTCCAACTTTTGTAGTTTCATACAATTTGTCTGTTTTGGAAAATTGGGGGGGGGGGGAGCAAGTAGTTAGTCTTGCCTAGGGCACAAAAAAGCCTGGCATCGGCCCTGCTCGCAGCATGAGATCAAATCAGAGTAAGCAAAGTGATTCTGACAGTGTACTCTAGAATAAATGAAAAGCATTTCAATGACATCTTAATGTTTTAAGTGTATTTTTATATCTATTCTTTTCCTTTTTTTAATCTGTAGAATGCTATCATCCTTTTTAAAGAAAAGGGACTTAATGTGCTTTTTTAACTGCCACCCTCAAAAACTGTTAACAATTTTTAGTGTACCCTCTTTTGTTGTTTTGTATTATCTACGGTTCTTGTTTTTCACTTTTTTAAAAAATTAAGGAATCAGGACAAAAAAAACCCTTATAAATGATCAATTATCCTTGCAGGTTATGGCAGGTTTCAATACCATCAGTTTTCCTCACTGCATTGGGTGGTGGATGGATGTCATATTCCCATTCTCTTTAACGGTCATATTGGATACCCAGATATTGTGTATGATGTACGTATTTTAAAATCATAATTCCTGCGAAGGATGAGGCATGAGCGAACACTTGGTCCTGGGAATCCACATCTAACTCAATAATGTTCAGACTCCACTGATTATTTTAGCCTGCAGCACATATCCACAGTGACCACAGTGATGAAACCATATCCAGCAAAAGCCACTGAGGCACAGAGGATGTTCAACCCTATCTTTAATAGCATGCAATATTGTTGAACAAGCCTTTGGGAGGTTGAAGGAAAGATGGCACCAGATATCAACACATCTGGAAGTTGCACAGGAGAATTTTAACTCTGTTAATGCTTCCTGTGTGGTGCTGCACAATGTCTGTGAGTCCAAAGGGCATGTGGTCGTTGGTCACACTGAAAGTTCTGAAATGATCATGGATAGGCAGGCCCATCCTGCAGACCCACTTCATTTAACAGATTGGTAGAAAACTAATTGTATATTGCAGGACAGAAATGAATCATTTAAAATTACAGGACAGAATTTAGATAAATAGTAAGAATAATTATATAATCACATTATGAGCTTCACAAATTTGTGTCAGCATTGCACATTATTTACCAGCAATTACAGGCATTTTTACTGTAACTGCAGTAATGTAGGCCACTACAAGGCAGCCTTTGATACCGTCGACCACGGTATCCTCCTGGAGAGGCTCTCCGAGCTGGGAATTGGAGGCTTGGCACTTGCCTGGCTCCGTTCCTTCTTGGGGGACTGTCCCCAGAGAGTACAGCTTGGGGAGAGTGTTTCGGCCCCGTGGAGTCTCAATTGTGGGATCCCACGGGTTGATCATCTCCCCAATGTTGTTTAACATCTATATGAGGCCGCTGGGTGGGGTCATCAGGGGGTGTGGGGCTTCGTGTCATCAATATGCCGATGACATCCAGCTCTACATCTCCTTTTCACCAACTGCAGGTGATGCTGTCCTGTCCCTCCAGCTCTGCCTGGGGGACGTACTGCAATGGATGCAGGAGAATGGGCTAAGGCTGAACCCGGATAAGACGGAAGTTCTGAGGGTGGGTGCCCCCGTGGTAGGTGGCTTGGGTGATTCTCTCACGTTTGGGGGGATCACCTTGGCCGCGAAGAGTGGGGTTCGTAGTCTGGGCATAAACTTGGACCCAACGCTCACCATGGAATCGCAGGTGGCATCGGTAGTCCGCACCGCCTTTTTCCATCTTTGGCGGATTGCCCAGCTGCGACCCTACCTTCACACGTGGGCGCTCACCACCTTGGTACATGCGCTCATAATCTCAAGATTATACCACTGTAATGCGCTCTATGTGGGGCTGCCTTTGAGGCTGATGCGGAAACTCCAGGTGGTGCAGAATGCAGCGGCCAGACTCCTTACCGGAGTGAGAAAACACCATCAAATTTCTCCAACGCTGCCCGCTTTGCATTGGTTGCCCATCTGTTTCCGCGTCAACTTCGAAGTTTTAATGCTTACTTATAAGGCCCTAAACGGTTTAGGACCTCGATACTTGGTGGAACGCCTACTTCCTCCAAGGTCTACCCGGATCACCTGCGTGAGTTAGGAGGTGAGGCTGAGGAGCCTGATGCCGAGAGCGGCCCGGAAGGATAAGACACGAAACTGGGCCTTCTCGGCAGTGGCTCCTCGCCTTTGGAACAATCTCCCTCCTGAGATTCGTGCGGCCCCTACGCTGGGCATCTTTAAAACCCAATTAAAAACATGGTTGTTCATTCAGGCCTTCCCTCCAGCCATTTCTTGATTTTCTTTTCTTACTCTCCCTATTTTTTTGTTTTGTATTTGTTGCGTTATATTGTTTAATTTTATACTGGAAGCCACTTAGAGTGGTCCACTGGTCCAGATAGGTGGGGTATAAATCAATCAATCAATCAATCAATCAAATAAATAAATAAATAAATAAATAAATCAATCAGTCAATCAATCAATCAATCATAGAATCATAGAATCGCCATAGGGTTAGAAGGGACTTTGGAGGTCTTCTAATCCAACCCCCTGCCCAAGGCAGGAGACCTCAGACCATCCTGGATCTCATACCATCCGGGACAGATGGCTATTCAATCTTTTCTTGAAAACCTCCAGCAATGGGGCAACCACAATATCAGGAGACAAGCTGTTCCAGTGCTTAATGGTTCTCACCATCAGGAAATTGCTCCTTATTTCTAGGCTGGATCTCCCTCTTGACGAGTTTCTACCCATTGGTTCTTGTCCTACTCTCAGGTGCAATGGAGAATAAATCGATGCACTCTTCTCTGTGGCAACGCTTCAGATATTGGAAGACTGCTATCATGTCTCCCCTCAGTCTTCTCTTTGTTAAGGTAAACATACCTAGTACTTTTAGTTGTTCTTCATACAATTTAGCCTTCAGTCCCCTTACCATCTTTGTTACTCTTCTCTGCACCTCTTCCAGGGCCTCAGCATCTTTTTTGTATTGTGGTGACCAGAACTGGACACAGCACTCCAAGTGCAGCAGCACCAACACAGTAGAGTGGTACTATCACTTTTCATGATCTTGATGCTATCCCCCTGTTATCAGCCTAGAACTGTGTTGGCTTTCTTGGCAGCTGCAGCACGCTGATGACTCATGATTAGGGAGTGGTCCACCAGGACACCTATCTGTGCCTCTGGTTTTTCCTGCCTAAGTGCAGGACCTTACTTTTCCTGCCACTGAACATCTTATTGGATAGGGCCCAATGTTCACGTCTATCTAGATCATTCTGAATGTTGAGTCTATCTTCCAAAGTATTAGCAAGTTCCCCCAGATTTGTGTCATCAGCAAATTTGATAAGTGACCCTTCAATCCCCTTATCCAGGTCATTTATGAAGATGTTGAAGAGCATTGGGCCCAAGACAGAACCTTGAGAGACCCCACTGCACATTTCCCTCCATGTAGATGTGGTCTGCTTCTCACCACTTCATTCCTCATTGTCAAGTTCAGTGACTAGGGGTTAGTGTTCTGGGATTGGTCCTAGAGATTATCCTGCAGATTTAGTTTAAAGCTCTTTGGATGAGTTGAGTGAGATGTCTGCCAAACACATTATTCTCAGTTCTTGTGAGGTGAAGCCCATCTCTTGCCAGGAGCCCTTCATGTAGGTGGTATAACCCATGGTCCAGAAATCCAAAGTTTTCTTGACGGCACCATCCCTTGAGCTAGTGGTTTATCTCTGCAGTCCTCCTCTCCCTCATTGGATGTTGACTCTCCGTCGGAGGTACAGATGAAAATACCACCTGAGCACCCAGTTCTTTTGCTTTCCTGCCCCACTGCTCATAGTCTCTTGATATAGTATATCACAGAAGTGAGTACACCCCCTCACATTTCCTAAATATTTTAGTGTATCTTTTCATGTGGCAACACTGAAGAAATTACACTTGGCTACTATGTGAAGAACTAAGTATACAGCTTGTATAACAGTGTAAATGTGCTGTCTCCTCAAAATAACACAACACACAGCCATTAATGTCTCAACCGCTTAAAAAAAAAGTAAGTACACCCTTAAGTGACAATTTCCAAATTGGGCACAAAGTGCCAATATTTTGTGTGGACACCTTTATTTTCCAGCACTGCCTTATCCACTCCTCCATGATAACATCACAGAGCTGGTGGATGACCTTGCGCACCTCCACCTTCCGTTTCAGGATGCCCCACAGATGCTCAATATGGTTTAGGTTTGGAGACATGCTTGGCCAGTCCATCACCTTTACCCTCAGCTTCTTAAGCAAGGCAGTGGTCATTTTGGAGTTGTTTTTGGGGTCATTATCATGTTGGAATACTGTCCTGCGCCCCCGTCATGCTCTGCTTCAGTATGTGATAGTACATGTTTGCATTCATGGTCTCCTCAATGAACTGTAGCTCCCCATGACACTCCCACCACGCTTGACTATAGGCACAACACATTTCTCTTTGTACTCCTCACCTGGTTGCTGCCACATACGCTTGACACCATCTGAACCAAATAAGTTTATCTTGGTCTCATCAGACCACAGGACATGGGTCCAGAAATCCATGTCCTTATTCTGCTTGTTTGCAGCAAACCGTATGAAGGCTTTTTTTGTGCATCACCTTTAGAAGAGCCTTCTTTCTGGGATAACAGCCCTGGAGACCAATTTGATGCAGTGAGTGGTGTATGGTCTGAGCACTGACAGGCTGACCCCCCACCCCACCCCTTCAACCTCTGCAGCAATGCTGGCAGCACTCCTATGTCTATTTCCCAAAGCCAACCTCTGGATATGACAGTGAACACGGGCACTCAACTTCTTTGGTCAAGCATAGTGAGGCCTGTTCTGAGTGGAACCTTTCTTGTTAAACCACTGTATGGTATTGGCCACTGTGCTGCAGCCACGCCCTCCTGTCTTCCACTGCCTCCCGGAGTTGTGTCAAATTCATGTTGGTAGCTTTGGTGACACTGACCATCCATCTTGTCCTCTGTCGTCCCCTTCTCCTCCTGTCTTCACACTTTCCTAACATCGGGGGCTTTTCCAGGGAGTCTTCTCTTCTCATGAGATGGTCAAAGTATTGGAGCCTCAGCTTCAGGATCTGTCCTTCCAGGGAGCACTCAGGGTTGATTTCCTTTAGAATTGATAGGTTTGTTCTCCTTGCAGTCCAGGGGACTCTCAAGAGCCTCCTCCAGCACCACAAAAAACTGTTAAAAACTTGGCTTTACAACACAAATGGAAAGGCAGATTTTTTGCTGTCAGTTTAAACTGCCTTGTACACTGCTGCCACTTGAGCACAGGAGGCAGAGAAAGAGGTGGCCGGAGTGGCTGGGAGGCCCCTTCTGGCACTTGCTGCTGCCACCAGTGGGATAAAGGGGTGAAAGGAGAAGGTCCTATCTTCCTCCTCTACAAGCCTCCTCTGTGAAGAGCAGCAGCAGCAAAGCTGAGTCATTGCAGCTGAGCAGGCACTGTGCCACCCTACAAGAGGGTCATTTACTTTAGCACTGCCCCAGCTTACATTGTGATCTAGGACACAGTGGCCAGTTTCATTGCTGAGAAGCTGTGGCATGGCCCTTGTAGCCAGCCCGGAAGACCTGCAGTAGTGAAGCTGGGTCACTGTGACGAAGCAGGTGCTGTGCCACCCAGCTGATGGGTGCTCGAGCTGGGCTGCTGCATCCTGGACTGTAGTGCTGCTTCTTTGGGCTAGCTCCTGGGGCCACACCACAGCTTCTGGGCAGTGAAGCCGGCCATTGACTCCACTGCAGCAGCTCCAATTCACCACCCATCAGCTGGGCAGTGTGGCACCTGCTCAATGGCAGTCACCTAGCCTCCACTGCAATATAGGATGCAGTGATTGGTTTTGGTGCCCAGAAGCTTTGGCACAGCCTCAGAAGCTACTCCAGAGGAGCACTGGAAGCAAAGCTGGGTTGCTGCTGCAGCTGGGCTTCACCTGCCATCATCTGGGCAACTAGAAATGGTAACAGCAATTTATAATCATGACACTGACACCTATTGTGTGGCATCTTGTTAATAAAACTGGGCTCAAAGATGTGGGATTAGTCCTTGAAAAAGAAGGCTTTGCCTTGTACACATTGTCCTTTGTGGATTGTGGCATTAGTATAACCCTAAGATCCTTTAGTTTCATGGTTCAAATTAAAAGATTAACTCAAGTTGGGTATGGATGTAGTGTAGCTTACAGAATTTCGATGTCATAATTCAACATGCTGGAACTCTAAAGAATCCCCAAGCAAATACAGCCTAATCTTCATGCCCTCATTTACTCAAGAGGTTACCACATAACACTAAATTAAGAGTATACAAACCATACAACCAGTGGAATCCAATTTTCTGTCTGCAATGCAACGGAAATTCTTGCTACAGCCACCATTGTCCTTGGAGCAGTCCCGAACGGGCCCAAATGAATCCAGAAGTACCTCAAGGCTGTCAAAGGAGGAGGAAGTCATCAGCTCCTCTCTGCAATGGAGAAAAATACAATTTGTATAATAGCTTAAAAATTATAATTAATACAATATATTACAGTGGTGCCTCAACTTACAACCTTCTTGACTTATGACCAAATCGAGTTATGACTAGCTCTGGCTACAAAATTTTGCTTTGACTTGCAACTGGAGCTTTGAGATATGATCAGACAAAAGGTGGGGAAAAGGCAGGGAATTTAAATTGCTAATTGTTGGTCAGCGAAGAGGCTGCTTCTTTGTAGCTCTTTCACCCTGACAGTTAGAGTGTGTGCATTCGGAAGAGTCTTTGGACCTGGTGCTGCTTTCTGCTTCTGAGTGAGTACATACGTACAGGGTTTTGCAGTGTGGGTTTAAGCTGGGGGGGTTATGTTTCTGTGCTGTGATATATATTTTTTGGTGTGGGTTTTTTTCCGGCCCGAATGGATTAATTGCATTCCGATAGGTCTTGATGTGTTGTGGGTTTTGTGTGTGTGTGTGATTTCTTTTTCCGGCCCCAACACACTCCAATGGGTCTTGCAGTGTTTTGTTTTTTTGGTGTGTGTTTTTCCAGCCACAGCTTATTCTGATAGGTCTTGTAGTGATGTTTTGTTTTTTGGTGTGTGTTTTTTTTCAGCCCCAATGCGTTCCGATGGGTCTTGCTCTCTCTCTGTGTGTGCGTGTGTTGACTATTTTTCCCAGCCCCAGCATGTTCCAATAGGTCTTGCTGTGTTGTGTTTTGTTTAGTTTTTGTGATTTTCCCCCCGACCCCAACACATTCCGATGGGTCTTGCAGTGTTGTTTTGTGTGTTTTTTTGGTATGTGGGGTTCTTTTTTTCTTTCTTTTCTTTTTTTCTTTCTTTTCCTTTCTTTCTTTTTTTCTTTTTTTTGGGGGGGCTGAACGCATTCTGATGGGTCTTGCACTGTTTTTTGTGGGGGTTTTTGGTGGTTTTTTCCTGGCTGGAACGGATTAATGGGGTTTCAATGCATTCCTATCGGAAATGGTGCTCTGAGTTACCACCAACTTGAGTTACAATCATCTTCCGGAACGAATTAAGTTTGTAACTCGAGGCACCACTGTAGTATTCCTGGGTAATATGAGCAGACAGATTTGTTGCACCAAATGTCATCTAGCCTGAGTGATTTAATTTTTTGAAAACTGAATTCTTAAATTTTAAATGGGATTTTTAAAAAAATATATATTGTAATTTTTTAAAAAACTAGATGATTACAGTTTTAATTTATAATTTAATTTAATTTAAAATGTCAAGGATTTCACTGCCAAGTAGAATGTAAATTCTAACTGTATATTTGAGACAATGTATTCATATAATCATTTTTTCCCAAAGTTTTGTAGATATGGTGGAACAACCTTTGGATTGGGCCTTAATTTATGGGTTTTTATAGCCTCTAGTATGGAGTATGGAGCGCAATCCTTCTGTGTCCTCATGTTCCCAGCCTAGAAAATGTAATCAGAATTTAAACCATATTGTCAGAGATACAAAATTTGAGAACAGTTATAATAAGAAATAACAGAGCTCCTAAGCCCTATTTTCCACTTCTAACTGAAGTAATTGCTAGAGTTTCCCTAGTCCAAATCGTGACATAATTCCGCAAATTCTTAGAGATCCACTTAAAATATCTAGGATTGCTTTCAATAGTTTACTTAATCGGTGATGATTCCTTTACATGGCTATCTTAGGCTCTGACCATCTGCGTCTCTTTTGTTGACAGTCAACCCCAATCTTTGTCTCCAAAAGTGGACAGATTAACTTCTCCCATATGAACCTGCCCCAAATTATAAGATCTGTTTCATGGTCCTTTCCTGCTTATCCCTAGGTTGAATACTAGTAAGAGGCACCCCAAATATAGAACACTGGGACACCTCAAATAAAAATTAGCCATGCCAGGTAGGCTGGGGAAACACTCATTCTTGATGTGTCAACACTTATTTTTAATGGGCAACCGGTGGCTGCCACTTTAATTGGTCTCTTTTGATTTTAGATTACTCCTTTTTCATTCTTTCATTGAACTCTTGCTTATTTATCACATTACAGAGGTATTTAAATTGAAAACTGATTTGGTAACTTTGATTGGAAAGTGATATACATATATTACATATATATTAAAAAGATAATTGAACTACAGTGATCTTGATATATACTTTAAAGAAACCTAAACTACTATTATCCTCTCAATTTTTTCTTAGAAATGAAATTGACTTGCCAATACTTGCAATGAACTGCAGTCAGTTTCATAATGCATGATTTGTACAATGCAAGAGAAAACAGCCATAGTTGAAGATTAAGAAATAGGCAGGCTAGAGATAATAAGCTTCCTCACACTACAATTAGCCATCCTTTTAATGTTTTCTCATATGTCAAGCAACCAGTGCCAAACCAGGGCTATTGCCACAGGAGAACGGTAGAGCTGTAAATGAGAAATGGCATGTGCATAGAGCTTAGAACATATGAAATAACAACATCACTATACTTCATCATCCTTTAGGAGAGAAGCTCTTACACAGGCCCTTGACTTGTAAACCGCCCAGAGAATGCTTGAAGCACTATGGGGAGGTATATAAGCAGCACGCTTTGCTCTTTTGCAATAATCCTAATAATCCTGAAACTGCTGAGTTGGAAGGGATGCTATGGATCATCAAGTCCAGCCCCAGCCAAGGAGGCACAGAGGGGAATCAAACTCCCAGCCTCTGGCTCTGCAGCTGGATATTAAACCACTGAGCTATTCCTAAGAATTGTTAGCTTTTTAAAAGAAGAAAGTGGGGAAAAATGGAGGTTGCAACGCCCCAGGCTTGTTTTGGCAGATTTATTCTATTTTGGTCATCCTGGATTATCTCTTCCTGAGATACAGAGAAGGATTTAAAAAGCACCTAATCCCTTCTCTTCCTGATCTTTCATTTGCTCCTAGTAATGGAGCGAAGTCCTGAGCTGGCATTTGTCAACCTGACATTTGCCTCTAACATATTTTGTTATGCTTGTGTGATTTTTCTGACTTTTTCGGGATGCCCGCAACCTTTTTGTAGAACAGTCCACATTACAGGGCCACACATGTCTCCTTACCTTTCTCTGTCCCTTGCCTTTCTCTATCCCCCAAACTATTGGGCAGGAAGCAGCAGCAGGGAGACTATCCCTATGAGAGCAGTTAGAACACAGTCTCAGAGAAAGGTGGGGACTAGAGGAGCATGAATGCCATTCAGGTGGATAATGAAATTTGAATATGGAACAGGAACTAAGGGGCCAGCAAAAGACTATATGGAAAAAGAGGGAATTGAAGGAAAGACAGAGAAGCATCTATGAGGGAGGATAGCAAATGAGAAAGGTCATAAGCTATCATGGCTGGAGTCAGAGGACAAGGCAGTTTCATAAAATCTGGGAGATTCTTCTGCCACCTCTCCTCATTTGCCAAGAGCCCCCAGGTTCCACCTACCGGACCTCAACGGCATCCTCCATCACTGTCATGTCTGTTTTGCACTTGGCAGATGGATTGATAGCCAGTTCAGCAGGTGGGATCACAAAGCTCTTGCTCAGAGGCAGCCACATTCCTTCCCCAAGAGTGTAGGTGAATCTGGAGCCAGAGGAGAGGAAAATAATGTGCTGGTATATACAGAATTCACGTTCCTATTGATTGTGACTGATTTTGCAATAAATAAAGCAGGCTAATGTTAGAAGAGGTGAAAATCAAACATTTGAGAAACACAGCTACTGAGAAGGCCTTATAACATAGGTTTTAGCTCTTCGTAGGAGTTCGTAGTTTTAGAACTAAAACTGGTAGTCTTACTTGAAACTTTAAAAAAGATGTAGATATCCTTCAAGAATCTAAAACTGAAGCGCAACAAGAATCTATTAAGCTGAACTGGAAACAAACTCACTAAATGCATGGTGGATTTTGTGTAGTTCTGTAGAGCATGACTGACTAAGACTCTTAACCATTCCCACCCAACACAGCCATGCTGAATTAGACTGGCTTGTTTTCAGTGATGTCATCACACAGCCAAATCTGACTAGCCACATGGCAAGGTCATCATGCCAAGGAAGAAGGATGGTTCTGTTGACTGTGGCTAAAACCAAGAAGGTACAAGGTCAGTCACACATAGAAATTACCTCCTTGCATGCTGAAAAAGATCACTTGTGAATATTTGGTAGAACTTTACCTAATTCAGGCTGTACCCATAATATAAAAAATAAACAAGTGATAAGGAGAAGGGGTAGTGTATATGGCCACAGTAAACCTTACCTGAATATCTTGTCAGAAGGCTGTTCTCCCAGCACCAAATCAAATCCACGCTGGAATATAGTATATGGCCATGGCCTAGAGAAAGACAATGCCATAGCATCCATTAAATCTTCTATACTTTCGTAACAGTTCACACTTTAGACCCAATTCTTCTCAGCTTCACTGTTAGAAATGTCTTCCTTAGTATAAAACTGGGCCCAAAACAGATATGATGTTTGAGAATGTAGGAAAGAAAGACAGAATGACGATATGGAACCTCATTTTTTGTTTGCTTATTAAGCTTATGTTGCCAACATGCAGACTAAATCAGATAAGAAAAGACTTAAATCCAGGTTGTTTTTCCAGACAGCTGTACAAGGAATATGGCATCAATCTTCACTGTAGGGTGGTACTCCTGATTAGGGCTCCATTCATGGTTATGTAACATGGAAACAAGTTCATCATTAAGAAGTAATTTAACTTTCTTTGAAATATGGTTGTGATGTCCAAACATTGTGTTAGTAACTGTCACGCACCCCCAGTGACCCTTGTGTGTTTTGTCCCTCACCCAGGTTCACCTTTGGACTTGTTTTTTACCCTTTTTCGCTGCCACCAGAGGATATTATCCTCACTATATCAATTATGAGTCTCACACTCTTGCTGCCAAATAAAACAAGGTTTATTTAAGGATAAATAAGTGAATCACAGAAGGAAAATCATGGATGTTCTATTATCATTCATTCATTAAACATGGATTTGATTACTTATAAGCTGGCTTGTACTCATTTACTTTAATCAAGATCTCAATAGTTTCTGATGGTCAATGTACTTCTAATTCTTTTTAACTCTTTAATATTCTCTAACTAACCAACTGTCCAATATCCTGTCTAAACACTTCACAGTCTCCTCCCTGTCTAAACGCTTCACCATCTTTTTCCTAACTGTCTCCCTGTCTTTCTCTAACTGCCTCTCTGGCAGTCCCAGTTCCCTTGACCCCGCCCCTCCTGTCCTGTCATAGGCTCCTGTACTAGAGCTCTAAAATGACTGACAGGAGTGATATGTGGGCTGTCCGCCAAAGTAACAACTCCCCAAGCACCAGACTGAAAAGGTGGAGTCATGGGCTCAGACAATGTACAGACCACTTTGGCAGCAGATCTTCTGCCAAAGGGGAAGTGTACACTGATATTTTCTTTCTGTGCAGAATCCTGCATGCAGCAGGATGTCTTTCATTGCCTCCCCAGTGCATTTCCCCCCCTCTGCGCACTAAATGAACAACTCAAAATTCAAAATGGCTCTTAAACTGACAACATATAGCAGTAGTCAAGCATCAGATACGAATGGATGACTGCTTCAGGTGGGAAATGAAGATTTTCTGTGGTATTCAGGAAAGTGTAACAACATTCAAGCAGTTTTGGTGTCAGTAAACAAGACAGATGATAATCTTTTAACAGAAGCCAGCACACATGGAAGGAGTATTAGGGTTTGAGACTTCCATTTCTCCTTCATGCACTTGAATTAGCCACAAAGAGATTTATTTATTTATTTAACTGGTAATAGCTGGGAACACAAGCTGATGCTTCCAGAATACAAATTGTATTTATTAGAAATCATAGCCAGGTGATGGTTGGAACCAGGATTCCACATTACATCGAAACACATAAAAAGAAACCTTAAATTGGCATTAAACCCTGAAGCTTTAGGATGATATTTTTTGACATCACCAAATATCATCTAGAAATTAAAGGCTGCTGAAAGGCTAATAGGAAATATAATAATAGTGTGATGCTACACATTATTAAGAGGAAGGTAGGAACTACATGTTTTCAGATAACTTGCAGTAAATGTTTTACCATGGGTTGTTTGCAAAGCAGAGTGAAAGTGCTTGAAACATCCATCCTGTTTTAATGTATGGGTTTATAAGTGACTGGATGGCAGCAGTGACACCCAAGGAGTGCAATGGTGGTGGCGGCAGTTGTGGGAGGGATCTCTCCTAGCATCAAAGATCCCTCTGCCTCTGCTACTGACCCCATTGCACTCTCCAGACTGTTGCTGCCCTGCCACCTAGTGGAAAAGCTCTCTTTCCTGGGTGACCTGTGTGATAAGCTTGGTTATGAAAGTTCATAAAATGGTTTATAGATGGGATTTGTAATCACAAAGTTAGCCAAAATGAATTCATCTGGTTTCTGTGTGTGAGTTGAGAGTGGAAATTTCCAAAGTTGTAGTTTGTTTTAAGATGTAGTTTTTCCTGAAGCTGGAGGGGAGATCCGCCCCCTTTTTCTTTTTTGTTAGCTAGATGTTTTATTATTTTTGTTTGTTTCAGAGGAATTCTATCTCCTATCAATGGGGATGGGATTGGAAATTGTAAATATGCTTTGCTATGCTTTGCTTAAACTGATTTCTCTCAGAACTATATTTTTCTAATAAAAGTGAATATGCCTAACCTCTGCAAGTTAGCTTCTTGAATAGACACAAGCTGTATAACAATTGGCTTATCCAAATTGAGGTATTTTACAAGGTCACGTAACTTAAGGCTACCAATTTGGGTCCAACTGATTTATGAGTGCTAGAAGGATGGAATTCCCTGGTACTCACGTGTGTGGCTTGGGTCTCAATGAAATCGGTCAGACTTGGGGCCAGAGTAAATTTTAGCTACCCTAAGGCAAAATTTACGGACCCAGTTTGCCTGATAAAGGAGCGATTTACTTTGGAACCTCTCTGCCCGTGGCTGAGCAATTTCTTAGGAAATTGACTTTGCTGGCAACCTGTGGAAAACTGGTGGCCAGCGAGCACCTTGGCAAGAGCGGTAGCAAGAGTGGAGGAAGGGCTCCCTGACCATCAAATATGTCACTGCTCCTGACACCACCACTGCTCCTGACACTGCCATTGAACTGCCTGCTGAAGTTAAAGCCCTAGAGAGGAAGGCTATTTGGACCTCAGCTGAATCCTGATCCGTTGCTCTCTTTACTACTTCTCATAGGAATCCTTACTTCAGTTTAAAATGGTGCTTATTTGATATTTTAAACTACAGTAAAGCTAGCATGATGTGCAGGATTGAAACTAACTTCACATTCCACACTTTTTTAAGATGTGTAGTTGCAGGCTAAATTCAATGAATCTTTCACCTTGGTAAGTGAGTGAGGATATCAGCCAAAAACTCTGTATAAACAATATGTCATTTGGGTCTGGAGGTTCAAAGACAGTTCAATTCTGGGCTTGTCCAATGCTCTGTGAAAAAAAGTTAGATAACGTTCTGATGTATGGTTATTTCTCATTACTCATTAAAAATGAATAGCATTTTAAAAGAACGTGCAAAGATTATAAGGTGCAGCCAAAACTGAGTTAATTTAAGTCACCTGATCCAGTTTACTCCAGTTATAATATCTGATTCAGTTCCTTATCAACCTGAGGTAAGTTTACCCACTGTTGAGATGGGAGCCAGGGCATTAACAGTCTGAGCAGCAAGGTGGTCTGGGTGCCTCCCTATCTTTTTAGGGGGGCACTCTTTCCATTAAGAATGAGGTTTTTAGCTTGGGTGTGCTTTCATTCATTCGTTCGTTCGTTCGTTCGTTTATTTATTTATTTATTTATTTATTTAGGACAAATCACTATCAATGACATCTCAGATAGCATCTGTGGTCCAATCCACTAATTTCCACCTAAAGCAGATCGCCATACGTCCTTACCTTGACACCAAGTCCCTCACTGTGCTGATGCATGTGCTGGTAGTCTTGACATTAGACTACTGTAATGCCCTCTATGTGTGGCTGCCCTTGGGACTGCTACACAGACTGCAATGGGTTCAGAATGTGGCAGCCAAACTTCTGAGGGGTTAGAAAATATCAACGTATCTCCCCCCACCTGGCCCCTTTACACTGGCTTCCTGTTTGCATCCGTACCAATTTCAAGGTAATGGTACTAACCTATAAGGCCCTAAATGGTTTGGGACCTCAATATCTAACTGAAAGCCTCCTTCAAGTTAGATCTGCCCACCCTATAAGATCATCCAAGGCCGGTTACAGAGTTCTGACCACGAGAGAGGCCCGGAAAACAACCACTGGAAATCAGGCCTTCTCGGTGGTAGCGCCACAATTATGAAACTCTCTTCTGCCCAAAATCTGCCTGGCCCCTTCACTGGGCGTATTCAAAAAACTACTAAAAACCTGGCTATTTAGACAGGTCTTCCCGGAACAAACTACAGTGGTGCCTCGCATAACGAGCGCACCGTACAACGACGAATTCGCATAGCGATCCCTTTTTTGGGATCGCTAATGCGAAGGCATACCGGCAGCCCCAATGGGCAAAACTTGCATTGCGAAGATCGGTAAGCGTTTCGCTTACCGATCTTCGCATTGCGATGTCGGGAAATCAGCTGATCGGCAGCTCCAAAATGGCTTACTGAGGGCGCGAAAAATGCTGCCGGATGGGGGAAACTTCGCTAAACGGTGAGTACAGAAGCCATTGTAACGCATTAAACTAAGTTTAATGCGTTCCAATGGCATTTTGCGTCCTGTTTAGCGATGTTTCCCCATAGCGACAGTTAATGTGGAACGGATTAACCTCGCTATGCAGGGCACCACTGTACACTTTGATACAAAAGTGTCCAATAATATAACTACTATCATACTGCCATGCTCCATGTTCTTATATTTTTCTATGCTTTGGTATTTATTGTATTGTAATTTTCTCCTCACTGCACTTTATGATTTTTTATTTTCACCCTTATATATTGATGTTGTTATTTGCTATTTTGTTACTTTTTTGTTTTATGTTATTTGTTATAAACCTTCCAAAGTGACCTTGGCTGCCAGATGGGCAGTATGTAAATCAAATAAATGAATAAATAAATAAATAAGGAGACACCTCATTCAAGACAGTTATTTGAATTCAAGTTTTTGCAGAGAACATACTGGCTAAGTTCATTTAGTCCAAACTCTTGAAACACAAGCCTCCAAAGGCAGGACCAGGTCACTTGCAAGACTGTTGTGTAAGCACAGGGCTATGGTGTAACCACCACTCAACTGCTTTACACAGCAACAAGATGAAAGCAATACTGAGTAGCTCAAAGGAACTTTCAAAATTTGCTGGAGTGGGTGGGG